AAATAGCTCTTCGGGAACAGAGATGCAGCTATTGAAGTGTCTAATCCGCTGCGGCGATTACTGAAAACTCCAGCTCCCAGGGCTAGGAAGGGGCAACAGAAGCGCTTTGCGTTTAACTAACCTGTTTTAAGAAAGCACCACCTTCTTTCCGCTCAAGTCTAAGCATCCCAGGTGGCAGAATAAATCTCTTCTATTTGTACGAAGTGGAAGATCCTAGAACGCTTTGTACCATAGAGCTGCACGGCCTCTGTGGTGGCAGATGGCAGACAGGATGCTACACGGCAGTGGGAGTGGCATGGACAGCTTTTGGGCAATTGCCTATCACAACCTCGCCAAGCACCCACAGACGGTCAGTAGAGGGGGGGAATAAAGCTTCTAGAGGCAGGTTTGAGAGTAGCCAGGTTTGGCAGGAAGGTGGAAGTCACTGCTGTCCTCTTGTAGAACTTGGGGGGGGGGTCAGGAACTTCATGTATTGGGGCTGCGTATTCCTGCGTGATTCTCACAAAGGGCACAAACGATTATGGCCGACTGTACCAGGCGTGCCAACTGCAGCTACAAGTCAACTGCACGAACCCGGGCACTCCTGTGAAACATGGGACTTAACTAGTGACCTGCCTTTCCACACCCAGCTTATTTATGGTCTTTCTTCCGCTTGGCAAGATCGTAGATGCTGCTGCATGAGAGCGGCTGGCTGTTCTCGACTCACGGCTGTGAATTAGCGTGGAGGGTACCACGGGGCAGGCATGTTTTCCCAGCTCGAATTCCTTTGGATCCTGGGCGCTCTCTAGTCCTTCCCGCAGTTTCTTCTACAAGCAGCCAGTACCCGAACCTGAGCAGTTTTTAAAGGCGCTTGAACTGTAATTTCAACGAAGAAGAGGTGCATAGTGCTCACAGAAATGGAAATCCAGGACGCAGACACTCCAACGGTGCCTCTTGTTGAGAGCCTGACGACTTGCCCTCTCTGCCCCAATGCACAGGACAAGCTGCCTTCAGTTGGACAGGAGTTGCCTGAATTGAGCTACTGGACATTCCAGTGTAGGGGGCTTTTTAGATGCCCTGTCAACATGTGCCCAAGCACACAACTGGCAAAGGAGTTTAAGGAATTAAACAGAACCAGGTATGATGGCTTTAAAGAAACGCAGGAACTCCCATCCCTGCAGTAGCAGAAGAGACTGAACTTGCAAATAGATTTTAAAATGAAATAGCTGAAAATCGCTTCCTCTTATTTCCCACCCCAGCCTGTGCTCAGGCTTCCACGTTCCTCTTGCAAGGGTTGAGAGTGTTGCTAAACCCCGTAAGCGAGCAGGGAGCAAGCTGAGCAAACAGCACCAGATCCCCAGCCAAGTTTAACTCACCTGTGCTGGTGGGAAAACATGAAGCAGTCGGGTCACTGTACTCCAACCCACCGCATGCATGTTACTCCCCAACTCTGAGCACCCGCTGGCTGGTGTGGTCAATCACTGCTTTTGCCAGCCCCCAAACTGTCATTTTAAGGGGACAGTCTAGTGAGCTAGGCTCAGGAACCGTACCTCTCCACCCTGGAGTAAGTCACTTATCCCTCTGTAGAGCAGGGGTACAAGTTAACTACCTCCCAGGCCTGTTGTGAGGGTTATTAGAGTCAGCTGAAAACCAAACCTGGCTGCAGGATTCAGCTTCCAGCATTTTGTAGTCAGTCAAAGCATAAAGCCTGCCATCACCCCATGGTGTGCACATAACGCTCCCACTGTCACTTGTGCATAGGGGGTCACGCACATCAATCACACGGGCAACTTCTAGCTGCTATACTTCCTGCTTCCCCGGACTCACGCTCCTGTCCAACGCTTTTTGCCACCGAGTAGCTTCATTTAACAAGGGCGGGCTGCATTTCCTAACCCGAGAGAGCCATTGAGAATAGGCTACATTCCGAGGCTATTAAAAATTTAAAAATAGCCACAGCTGCTTTCTGTGACTTACAGACACTCTTCCTCAGCAACTTACGGAGTCATGTGGCAGGGACAAAAACATCTGCCCCTGTTCAGAGAACAGGCTTCACCACTAGAGGTCACTACACACCGCGCACAGATTAAGCAGACAACCTGCAGCAGGTAGAGAGAACTTGAGCACTCTAAACCCATTTGAGCTCTAGAACTGGAAATCATAGACCAGGGGTCGGCAACCTTTCCGAAGTGGTGTGCCGAGTCTTCATTTATTCACTCTGATTTAAGGTTTCGCGTGCCAGGAATACATTTTAACGTTTTTAGAAGGTCTCTTTCTATAAGTCTACAATATATAACTAAACTATTGTTGTATGTAAAGTAAAAAAGGTTTTTAAAATGTGTAAGACGCTTCACTTAAAATTAAATTAAAATGCAGAGCCCACCCGGACCGGTGGCCAGGACCTGGCGGTGTGAGTGCCACCGAAAATCAGCTCGTGTGCCGCCTTTGGCACACGTGCCATAGGTTGCCTACCCCTGTCATAGACTATCAGGGTTGGAAGGGACCTCAGGACATCATCTAGTCCAACCCCCTGCTCAAAGAAGGACAACTCCCCAGACACTTTTTGTTTTGTTTTTTAAACCCAGTTCCCTAAATGGTCCCCTCAAGGACTGAACTCACAACCCTGGGTTTAGCAGGTCAATGCTCAAACCACTGAGCTATCCCTCCTGCTTCAGGGCCAGATCCTCACAGGGGTTTAGGCTCCTGACTTCCACTGATGTCAGTGTGAGGAGCCTAAAATACCTCTGGGGCTCTGTGCCTTCCCAGGAGAGGCCACCAAATCAAGCCACCCTTGGGCATAGCTACTGCTATACTGAATGGATGGCTACCTCACAGGCTTGGGATGGTGATTACATACTGCTGCATTATGAAGGAAGGAATAAAGATTCTGTTGTTCAGCCAAATGTTATAGACTCCAAAGCTAAGAGGATCAATAATCTTTGAAGCAAGTGGAAAGAACTCAGGAATTTGTGATGCCTGGAACTCTCCAAGACCCAGTTAAAGGAATCCCAGAACAGTTTCTTCTTGGTGAGGAAATACAGTTGCTTGTAGAGGTGGAGGTAACCTATCCAAAGTAGACCACAAGCTGGTTTGTTTGTAACAGAGCTGGAAGATTGCAAGACTCCTCCCTGCATCGTCATTCAATACAACGGTTACATTTCACTGCAGCTTGTTTCCATCGTAGGAGAAGGAATCTGAACTGCTTCACTACATTCCTGTCCTACTGCTAACCCTGGGCAATATGGTGAGTGTGTGTGTGTGCATGCATGGACGGCTGGGTGGATGCACAAGAGGGAATGGAGTTTCTGTGTTATGAGTGCTGTGTTTGTGCTTCGCATGGTGCCCTGCATCCTGTGTTTGTATATTGTTCAGCTGCCAGAGATGGAACATGTTTATTTGAAGATGAGTCACAGCCTTGCTGCACCCAGAAGTCTTACTTCATTTGTGCTCTATGCAAATTCACATGCTTCAAAGAAATAAAAATGTGTTCAGATGATTGTTTCCATGTTTGACAGCAATGTGTTCAAACCTCCCTTTATGAGCTCTGCTGTGCCACAGAGCTAAGGAGAGAAGACTGAGCTGCCATCTTCATGACCAGCCTCAGATGCATGGTGGCATCTTAGTTCCTGTGCAGCAAATTTCTAATCTAAACTATGATGAATATTTACACATAGGAGCAGCAATACGAGGCAGTGCAATCTAGTGCCTAGCATAAGCCTGGGAGTCAGGACTCCTGAATTTTATGCCCAATGCTGCCACCAACCTGCTGTGCGACCTTGGGCAAGTCACTTATGTGCCTCAGTTTCCCCAGCTATAAGAGGCATGCCGCACTGGGGGGGTAGGAAGAGGCTTATCAAGTGGAAGAGAAATACTTTCAATTGGAAAGGCTTTAGAGAAGGGTTAAAACGGGATTTGAAATAGCTAGAGCGGAGGTTCTCAAACTGTGGTCTGAGAGCTCCATGCAGGTGGTCCGCGGACAGTTCCCTCTAATGTGCGCACCTGGCCGTACACAATAGAATGAAGGGCCACCCACCTAATTAGCACATCTCCACTAACTAGGTGCCTGGACCCTGGAGAAGATGCACATGTAAGGTGAGGTGGTGGCCTTGGGGGGAATACAGGGTAGGTGGGAGGGGGAAGTGGGGTGAGAAGAATTTGGGATGCGCAGGGCTGCAGCAGCCAGAGAAAGAGGCGACTTCCCCCAGCTCCAGGGCTGCAGCTGCTGGGGAGAGATGGCTCTCCTCCCCTGCCTCAGCTCAGGGGCTGCTGTGGCAGGGGAGAGACCCCCCCCTCCTTCCAGGACCCAGCTCGGGGGCTGCTGTGGTGGGGGAGAGAGGGCACATCCATCGCCTTAGAAAGGGAAAAGTACGGATATGAAAATATGAGTTGTGTGCTTTTATTTGTAGAAAAAAGTTAGTTAAGGTTTTTTTATATAGCGCTTTTATCCAAAGCGCTTTACAATGGTTATCTAATGGTACAAAACATTTGGAAAGATCATTAAGTGGTCCTCCGAGACCCTCAGCAATTTTCAAGTGGTCCACGGGAATACAAAAAAAGGTTGAGAACCACTGAGCTAGAGGATCAAGACAGCATTGGAACACTCCCACACATCCCAGAACTCAACCCACATGGCCATCTGGGAAAGCGGGACTTTCCACGTCGGTAGGAGAGGCTGGGACAGAGGGAAGCAGCAGTCTGTCTCTATGGGCTTTTTGGAGACTCCGTGTTGAGATGGGCTCCTATTAACACAGCTTGGATACTTGTCCACTGTCAGGCTCAACTGCAGGACGTCCTGCTCAAACAGAGCAGCTGCGGTATTGCCAGAGCTGTGCAGGGAAAGTCCAGCTAGCTAACCAAAGCAGGCATGAGAGCTACGGCTCAGCACACTGGGAGTAGACTTCATTAGAGCACTTACTGGCTCAAGATGTTACCAGAAGGGAAGGGGGAGAAATCTGGAATAGCAGGTGTTAGGAGGCTCTGCTGCAGGGGAAGTTGGAGAAACACCGCACCAGTGAGAAAACACGTGTAGCACAAACCTTTATTAAAATAAAATTCCGTTCAAAATTAAATTAAATAGCCCATGGAATTGAGCTTCAGTCCAGGCAGGAGGCCTCCAGGGAGTGAGAGAGGGGTAAGCGAGCGCAAAGGAAGAGCTAAGGCCCTGCAATAGTGCTATGACTTGAAATCACATTCAAGGATCTGGATTTAAGATGACAGACAACCCAGAGAGTCGTAGATCAGATAACACAGGATTCCTCTTCCATACCTGGAAGAAAGAGAATCTGGAATTTCTCTCAAGAGAAGGATCTTTTAGTTCAGACGCATCATCTGACTCCTGCACTCCCACCAAGCTGCTGCACAGACTCTGTCCTGCACCACGAGCCTCACGTCCAACCCCACCTCAAACTGAAGCCACCCTCTGATTCCACAATGGCAAATGCCCCTTCACTAACCAGATGTGGAACATGTATTTTGTTCCACGCAAGGAGAGGTTTAGAACGAGCATGCACATTAGGTCCCATTTACTTCATCCTTCAATACACTGCAGGGAACTCTCCTCCAGTTCAGTTTAAAACATCTGCACTTTATAGGTGCTAATGTGAAGTGAAGTTACAGCATTCATTTCTGACACTGTTCAACTGTATCACAGCTAGGCAGTCCCATCGGAGAGAGCTGCAATGTTACCTGATGTACAGCACAGACTACTGAACCAGTCGGTAGGTGATGTATCGCCCGGCAGTTTCACTCGGTCTTATGATCTTGACCACCTGCAAGGGCAACAGAAACAGTTTACAAGCAATGAAAAGCAGCTCTGAATTTCACCCGCAGGGCTTGGCTCAGGTGCCCAATGGAGAGGCAGAAGCGTTCAGCCTCTGGAGAGGAGGGTGTATAGTGCTTGATCCTCAGCACCGAGGGAGGAAACCCGTCACTGAGACAGCTGCCCATAGCTAGGGGACAAGCACAACGTGCTTGGCATGACATGCAGGGGACAGATTACACAGACGTGCTCGTGAAGCATGAATGCGTGAGTTTAATCAGCCACTCCACGCCAACGCCAAGGGTGTAAAGCCCAGCAGGTGATCTAACAAGCGATCCTGGACCCCCAGCAATGCTCCATGTGAGGGTGCTGTACGATTTACACAGTACAGGGCAGGCTGGGGAGAACTCAGCCAGATTAGGGTAGAAATGCAGAAGCTCTGAAAGAAGCTTTTTAAGTGACACGGGGGAGGAAAACGCCCACTGAATCAGAACCCTGCCACAGCTCTCTATCGGAGGGTTTTCTTATGGTGCCCATCAGCATAACACCCTTTAGTAGCGAAAGGGGTGACATCTGAACAACAGGCTCAGCTCCCATCCCACAGGCAATGAATTCCTCATGCAGATGCAACTCTCCTGGGGAGGAAATTCTTCCTGGATGAGGAACCTGCAGAGCCACCTGAAGCCCCAATCCTGGGTGTGTAACACACAAGCAACTCGATAAGAACTGTGCCCCAAGACTCTTAACGTAACAGGTAGGAGGAGCTATGGAGGGCCAAATCCTGAAGTCACTCTGTGCAGCTTCCACTACCCGGACTGGGTTATACATGAAGGAGGCAGGGACCCCATATTCGGTACTAGTTAGAGACCCATTGTGCTTATTTATAGACCAACAGGCCTTAAAAACAGAGCTTTCAAGAGGCTCTGTCTTGCTGCTCTCCCGCAGGGGCTACGTCTGTCACCCTGCTTTGCTCCTTACCTGCCCTCGCTTTATTCCGAAGTACCTGGCCACGGGATCTCCAGCCTGTATCCTGGGGAGCTGGTTCTCTCTCAGTTTACTGAGAAACACAGTGAAGGAAAACCCGCCACCAGAAGGGTTATCATTCGGCCCGGCTTTATCCCAGCAAGAGGCAGGACCAACAGAGCACATAACAGCCTGTTGTACACATCGGAAGTCTAGCCATTTCCAGCACAAAGCGAGTGAGTCACTTCCATGCTGGTAGGGGAGGGACTGACATTTGGCGCAAACAAAAGGATACTATCTGGCCAGTAATTCAGTTACTTCTTCCTTTGTCATGACCACGTGCTCTGGAACCAACTGTAAACACAAAAGCGGAGTCAGATCTAGGCAGGCTGAGATCAGAAAGGAGGCGAGAACAGTTATTTCCTGTGATGACCAGGGCTAGTACACAGTGGCAAGGGCCACAGGCAGCCATTCTAGTCTCCCACCACCCAGCGACACAAAATACACAGTAAAAGAATTTCAAGGGGTTGATTTACACCCAGATAGTCCAGAGTAAAGGCCAACTATCCTGAACTCACTCCATGCTGCCCAAGCATCCAACTCACCTCATGCTCTGTGATGTTGATCAGCAGCTCCTGCTGCAGGAATTGTTCCAGGATGTATTTGGGAGCCATGTCCACCAACGACTGAAAGAAAAACCAAAAGGATTTTAAACTTCAGCACAGAAGAAGGGGCCCCGGCGCACATTAGACAGGATCACGTTGGACTAGTCAGAACTGAACTTTAATGAGCACCAAATGCTACAGCCAGTGTATTACCCACAGTAACATCAATCACCTCTATACATAAATCAAGGGGAGAGTGGATCTCTTAGCCAAGATGCTAAACACACAATCACCTCTTCCTTTCTTTCCAACCTCCCCTGGCTCACTTCTGCTGCCCCCAGTCTCTCTTCTCCCATCCCTTAAGCACACTGCTCCCTTCCTTCATCATGTCTGAGGTCTTATTTCTTCATCCTTGTTTCCTCTTACTCCCAATACTCCTCTCAATCACTCCAGCCTTCTTTTCTTCATCACAATCTCTCCCGCTTTAGTAAACTACTCTTAGTCTTGTCCACCTGAGACTATAAAATCTTTGGTGCAAGGAATGTGTCTTACTCTCTCGTGCTCATTGCTGTAGTATCTAGGTACTAACCTCAGTCCCCTGAAAGTTAGGTAAGAGTTCCGGTTGTGTTGTCCAGTTGTGTGTGTAGGTACAGTAACTCCTCAGTTAAAGTTGTCCCGGTTAACTTTGTTTCATTGCTGATCATTTAGGGAACATGCTCGTTTAAAGTTGCGCAATGCTCCCTTATAAAGTTGTTTGGCAGCCGCCTGCTTTCTCCACTGCTTGCAGAAAGAGCAGCCCATTGGAGCTAGCTGGTGGGGGCTTGGAACCAGTGTGGACCAGCAGCCCCCCCGTCAGCTCCCCTCTCCCCTAAGTTCCCTGTGCAGCAGCCGCCCAGCAGGCTATCAACTGCTGGCAGTACAGCTGTCCCTCCCCCCACTGCCATGTGCTGCTCCTGCCCTCTGCCTTGGAGCTGCTCCCGGGAGCCTCCTGCTTGCTGTGGGGGGGAGGGGAGAGAGAAGGAAAGAGGGATGCTAATGTCAGGGTCCCCCCTACCCCCACTCCTGTTCCCCACTCCTTTACCCCATCCAGCCATCTCCACAGATCAGCAGGGGGGACACAATAGGGCTCAGGACAGAGGGAGATCGGTGGCAGCAACTGCTGTCTCAGCTTGCTGATCAACTTAAAAAAGCAGTGTGCTTAGAGTAGGGTCAGTGTACTTAAAGGGGCAATGCGTGTCTCTCTCTGCCATGCTGTCTCCCCTCCCTCCATTCCTGCTGTCTTGTAGAGTGTGAGGCTACATTAACAATAATGTGTTAACCCTTGAGGGCTCAGCCGGGTGCTAGTTCATCATTTAGCAGTAAGGCATTCCCTGGGAAATATCCCACCCTCTGACTCCACCACCTCAGCCAAGCTTTGCAATCATCATTGCTGTGTACAGTATTAAATTGTTTAAAACTTACAGTGTGTGTGTGTATATATATATAAACACACACACACACCCCTAAAAAAAAAAAAAAGTCTTGTCTGGCAAAATTTTTTCCCCTGGAATCTAACCCCCGCTATTTACATTAATTCTTATGGGGAAATTGGATTCGCTTAACATCGTTTCGCTTAAAGTAGCGTTTTTCAGGAACAGAACTACAACGTTAAGCGAGGAATTACTGTGGCTCCTATTGAGTACACATGACCTAAACAAGTTCTGCCTTAGCAAATGTGTGTTAAGACTGTCCTACAATCCTCATGTACCCTATTACCTGAGGGTTCTGCACGGTCTGCAAGAGCACAGTGCCCACGTGTGATGGGCATGGTCACACATTGTTTTAAAGAGGACAAAGTTAGCAAAAAGGTTAATCTACAGGGGCACTGACCACTGTGCATCTGGTACCAAAAACCCCCAGAGGCATACAAGTGTGCATCCTATGAACTCTCAGTCCCCATCCTATAAACTCCCAACCAGCCCTGACGCAGGATCACCACCTACCTGCTTTGCTGAGGGAGTCATGCCTTGCTGCACCACAATCAGAGCCCTGGTGATGTTCTCTTCCTGCATTCTTTGGCAGTACATCTTGATTGTCTTTATCCCAACCTTGGGCTCCTCTGAGGAATAAATAAGTCACATGATATAACTCCTGGTTGTCATGAAAGATCTGCATTTTATCTACCTTTATCCTGCAGCTCGTCTGCAGAATAATACTAATGCACCTATATTCCTCGCCTGGGTTTCGAATAGCCTCCCCTTCGGCACGACATGTTGCTGCTATTCAGAGCGCAGGTAGTACAATTGCACAGCACTGCAGCTGGGACTTCAGAGAATAGAACTGTTTTCACTACAGACTAGTCGGTTCAGAGACATCTATCCAGATGTTACAGACTGTACTAGGCTGCACCAAGAAAAAGAACATATGACAGAGAGCAGGTGCATAGCCAGGTGGCCAAAAAATCCTTCTGTAAATCTTTCGGGATTGTAGCAGGCAGAATTCAGCCTATTCAGACTGTACTTGGCCAAAACTCTCCCTGGCTTCAAGGGATGTTTTGCCCTGAGTAAAGCCAACAAAATTGGGCTCTGATGCAGTTATCCAAATGCTGGCAGGAATCAACTGCTACCACGATTTTTCTAGGAG